TTCCTGAGCACTTGAAATTTAAAATTCAATGATATAAACTTCTGAACTGGGCTTGTCACAAATGGATGAGTGAATGAATAGTGGAATCAACAAATCATGTCTGGTTTTAGGATAATTATTTTGTATATCTTGACATGTATCTTGACATGCGATATGGTGCTTTTTGTTGTTTCATTGTAGTCATATTGGTGCCTGGATGAGAGTCACAAGGGGCATGTCTAGATTATATGGCTCCGTCGACGGAGCCATGTAGATTTGTTTACTCGGCAAAGGGTAATGAAGCGGAGATTTAAATAATCGCTGCTTCATTTAAATTAAAATGGCTGCCGTGCTGTGTCAATCAGCTGTTTGTCAGCACAGCGCTGTAGTCTGGATGCTCCGAAGATGAGTGAAGTTATATCTTTAACTGGAGCAAATATAGTTGGTGACAGAAATAACTTTTGGAACTCCTCACAGCTCCTCTCCAGGTCTGTGAAACTCAAAAGGGCGAATCTCTCACCAATCAAAACTGTTCCAAAATAATTTTTTTTAAAGATATTACTTCATCCACCTTGTCTCTCTGTTTGGGTTTTAACCTTTAAAGCTTGAATGCCTTTCATCTCCAGTTCGTCATTAAAAACTTATTGGACCTTCCTCCATAATTTCCCAATAACTGTGAAAATTATAAAAAGATGAAAAACTTAAAACATTATACAAAGTTATAAAACATAAACGCTACCTCTAGACTGCATGCCTTTTTCTATTCATTGAAATTAAAATGGCTGCCGTGCTGTGTCAATCAGCTGTTTGTCAGCACAGCGCTGTAGTCTGGATGCTCCGAAGATGAGTGAAGTTATATCTTTAACTGGAGCAAATATAGTTGGTGACAGAAATAACTTTTGGAACTCCTCACAGCTCCTCTCCAGGTCTGTGAAACTCAAAAGGGCGAATCTCTCACCAATCAAAACTGTTCCAAAATAATTTTTTTTAAAGATATTACTTCATCCACCTTGTCTCTCTGTTTGGGTTTTAACCTTTAAAGCTTGAATGCCTTTCATCTCCAGTTCGTCATTAAAAACTTATTGGACCTTCCTCCATAATTTCCCAATAACTGTGAAAATTATAAAAAGATGAAAAACTTAAAACATTATACAAAGTTATAAAACATAAACGCTACCTCTAGACTGCATGCCTTTTTCTACAGAAGCTTTGTCTAAGCTATGATCAGTACTGTTGAAAAAGCAAGCTGCTTTTTCGAAAGAGAGAGTTTAGATGCTCTCTTTCTAAAAAGCACAGTGTGGATGCAATAGTGCCTTTTGTTGACAGAGCTCTGTTGACAAAGGAGTTCTTCCTCATAAAACGAGGTTTATCACCGTCGACAAAACTGCCACGTTCTATCGACTTACTGTTGACAGAATGCAGCGGTACTGTAGATGCAGGTATAGTTTTGTCGACAAAACCCTGTAGTCTAGACACAGTCAAAGAGGGCCGGAGCAGCAGGCGTGAAGCATTGCACAGGCGACGGGGTGGGAAAGAGCCTATATTCCCACTGAGTTCTTCTGAGTTTAAGTGCCTCATTGAAACTGCAAGTCACAACAATCACATCTTATCTCCAGATTTTCACGCTAGGAACCCCAGTGACTTCCAGTGCATGAAGAAGGCATGCAGGTTAAGATGGGAGCAAAGAAAATGTCCTTATTGTTAAAAACAACACTGCTCAAAAACAACTTCAACAAGGCCCCCTGACCTGAGAAGTTTCAGTGTATTGATAAATATGACTTGTACTGAAAACATAAACAAAAGCTGAGGGTGTGGATAAGTCATTAAGAATTGAATGGAAGGTAAATGTGCTTCAATCATCCAGCCAGACATCACCCACTGTAACTCATTTCCATAGGGGGTACATGGGAGATGTGATTGCTGTAACACTCATCTCCTCTGCACCCATCCAGCTTCCTCCCATTGGGGAAGGAACAGCAGCAGCCCCCCACCCATCCCAAAAAAGTGAGCAAAACTTCTGAGCTTAAATTTCTCCCTCCAGCAACTCAAAGTCCTCCAGCAACTCCCTCCAGTCCTCCTCAGCTCATCTATGGGGCTCTTAGGGGGAAAGGAGAGCTCCATACCTGCTCCATACTAGCACATGCCCATATAGTAGGGTTGTTCCAAATCCCAGGCAGCTAAAGCACAGAGGGAAGCAGTGCACACAGACACAATTCCTCAATCCCCACCAAACTCAGCTGGCCACCCTGAGCCTTTTCCAGCACAACCCACCCCACCCTCTCACCAGAGGGCTTCTATGGGGGCCCCTCTGTCTCAGGGAGAAGGGGAGCCCCTGCCCTGGACACCCACCCTGCTGCTGCTCCCACAAGATCAAAGGATTTACCTGACACAAGTAAGTGCCTCTGTCCTCCCTCACCTTGGCTGAGCTGGCTGGGGGGTTTCTCTCCTTTTTAGCTGTCTGGCCCCAGGTAAAGTCACATGAGACTATTGAAATGTGCCCCAGTTAGCACATCAACCTGGTTGCTCAGGTCTCAGGCTGGCAGTGCCTGCACAGATACTCTTTGCCTGTGTCTAGACTGCACCCCTTTTGAGGAAAAGGGATGCAGATTAGACACAGTGCAATTGCAAATGAAGAGGGGATTTAAATTTTCCCTGCTTCATTTGCATGAATATGGCTGCCGCTTTTTTCCAGCTCGGGGCTTTGCCGGCAAAAAGCGCTAGTCTTGATGGGGATCTTTCGGAAAATAAAGCCTTTTCCGAAAGATCCCTTATTCCTGATTTTAAGAGGAATAAGGGATCTTTCGGAAAAGGCTTTATTTTCTGAAAGATCCGCGTCTAGACTGGCGCTTTTTTCTGGCAAAGCCTCGAGCCGGAAAAAAGCGGCAGACACGTTCATGCAAATGGAGTGGGCAAAATTTAAATCCCCGCTGCATTTGCAATTCCGACTTGTCTCATCTGCATCCCTTTTCCGGAAAAGGGGTCCAGTGTAGACACAGTCCCAAGTGTTTCAAAGCTCTGTGGGATTTTCTAATCTGTCCCAGGAACAGAGACCAGTTTAATGAAAGCAGGCTCATGCCTTTGGATGGGACGCTCCTGTTGGGACATTCAAGGGCCTCTCATTGAATTCTTCCCTCATTTATGGAGGCTGGTCTCTACTATTATACAACAGTGTGCAGAACATCCTAGAATCACTTCAAAGGACAAGAGTATACTGGAAACCAGGCCTTATGCTCAGGGGTCTTGGACTTTTCTGATAGAAGATTAGTAACAAGCTGCTAAGGGTGTAGAGTGTTCCCTATGAAGGGGCAGGATTGTGTCTCAGCAGTAATGCAGTTCTCTCTGTGGACTGCACAAAAACCTTTCAGTAGGAAAAGGTTAAGTAGGGCTCTGGGCTGAGGACAATTAGATGGTCTTAAATAGGACTTGGGAAGTCATATTAATTCCGCATGTGCAACACAAATTCCAATTCTGCTGTGCCTAACTGAAAAAATGTGTCAATAAAGTTTTTCAATACTCTTTCCTAGTCATCTGTCCAAGATTCCATGTCTTGTAAGCTTTCTTTGTGTTTGAGCTCACCAAAGATTTCATTGTTAAGCCACAATGGTCATCTACCGTATTTGCTTTTCTTACTGTGCCTTGGGATGCTTTGTTCCTGCATGTTGAATAAGGCTTCTTTGAAATATTGTTAGCTGTCCTTGATTCTTTTCCCCGTCATGTTAGCAACACAGGGATTCCTACTCATCATATCCCTAATGTAATCAAACTCCGTTTTTCTGAGGTCCAGTGTATGTATCCTGCTGCTCTCCTTTCTTCCTTCAGTCAGGCAATCTCTGCTACCCAAGTTGCCACTCACATCTATTTCCCCTACTAATTCCTCCCTGTTTATGAATAATAGGTCAAGCTAAGCATGGCCCCTGGTTGGTTCCTTCATCACTTCTAGAAGGAAGTTTAAATACCTCATGTCATAATAGGAGGTTTGTATTGTGTGTCACAGAAATATTGATATATATTAGTGACCATGAAAGTTCTTTCAAATTAATCACAATAAATTGGAATCAAATCCATCTTCTGTCTTCCATATTGGGGGAATGGGCATGTGAAGAGTTCCACAAATCAACAGCTAGTGAAGCCCCTTTGTTAGCTAATGTTCCTACTATATAAGAAATAAAGGAAATCAATCACTTTGTATTTAATAGGCACCTAATTTGATAACAAAGAAGTGCCTGTGTTGAAAAGTATCATTTTTGTTTTTGTTTTGCAGCCACACTTAAGGAGGAAAAAGGTAAGTTGCTCTGAATTGTGCATTTGGGAATGAGATGGTTCAGTTATTTCCCCATCTAGATTCCATCAGAAAACTTTTGATCTCTTTGAAAACTCTGTGGCTGCGTCTAGACTGGCAAGTTGTCAGCTTGCCAGCTGTCTACAATGCCGCTTGAATTTGCGCAAGAACACTGACAATCTAATGTATTATTGTCAGTGTTCTTGCGCAAATACAATGACTGTGTCCCTGCATAACTGGGACTTCTAGGAGGAGTCGGTAACACCTGAGCTGTAATCAATCTGAAGCACCAAATGTTCAGTTTAGCATCCCATTCACCTTCCCTGATACCCAGCTGGTCATTGTCTATGCTGAAAATAGGTGCAATTTCATAGAACTATATGGTTAGGAGGGATGGCAGTGGTCATATTTCTAAACCCTACGAAAATGCAAGAATCTGTCTCAGCAGTGCTGTACTCCTCCCTCTGGACCCCACAAACCTCTTTATTAGGCAAGAAATGTATTTACGCTGGGCTAGATGGCACCAGAGTGGACATAAGTAGGACTAGAGAGATTATAATAGCTCTGTATTTAGCTTTGTCACTGGGACATAGAATCTTGCTTCCCCTTCTGCTTCTGGTTCCTGTCTCCTGATTTCTGTCTCCTGTTTACTCTTAGCTCCTCTGCAGGTCCGTCTTCCTATTCCATACACCTAACATTGTCTCCAGGTCTGCCCCCGGGCAGGCATTTGATATTGTCTCCAGCTGTGATCTCTAGCTTGCATCTCACTCGGTCTCTGACTCTGGCCCTGCAGCTCACTCTGTGATGATCTCTTCGGTTTTGAACTCTGGATTTGACCATTAACCAATAAGCTTACTACCTACAACCCATTTATTGCATCCTGGAGCTTTTCTCAGGGATGTTCTCTTATCAGGTATTTGCACTCAATTTCTTTGCACTGTGCAGTTACAAAAGCCTTGAGGTTCAAGCAGATTTTAACAAAGTGAGACTGCTATCATTTTTCAAGGTCCTCCTCTGACTGAGAATCACCTGACTGGAATCCATGTCTGTGACCATGTGCAGATGCATATTCCATGAAAGACTCTTGGGTGTTCTCTTTAGTGGAGTCATAAGCCATGTTTTCCAGTATAGTAGGTTTATGGTTAAACTTCTCCCTTCTCTCCTACAATTATCAAGGCTTGGCCATAGCACATATGAGTTTTTGCTCTATCTAAAATTCTCTTGGACTTGTTTGGCTTTGTCTTCAGGAAAAAATCCACCATGACCCAGCATGACATTCATCTGCTTAGGGATTTTCTTGACTGCATTGCTTTTTTGGGATACCGGAGGTATCCCAGAAAAGCAACACTGCATCCAAAGAATGCATCTGCTTTTTCAGAAAAGAAATCGAAAAAGCAGACACATCCCTGTAAACCTTGTTTTAATCAGGAAGAAGGAATGGGTCAAAAGAACAGGTTTCTCCAAAATGTGGGGCCGTGTAGATGCACCAAATTTTAGCAAAGCCTTTTTCAACAGAAAAGCAGAAAAAGATATGCAGATTGCAAACTGCAATTTGTATATCTTTTTCTGACTTACATTAGTAGTCTAGATGTAGCCTTAGTTATTTTTCTTTCTCGGGCAGAAAAAAATAGCATTCTGCTACAAATAGCAGAAGAAACAATTTGAAAAGGCAGCTGCTCAGACTGGGCACCAAAATACAATGTCACCTGACCTTTTGGGTGTGTACTTAGACAGATAGTTCAAGCGACTGTCTTGCCACAAGACTCTTGCCACAGCTGGAGAAGGCTCTCCAATGTTCAAGGGTATGGCTAATGTCCCTAGTATTGAAGAAATAATGGATTTTGTTCACTCTCAATTCAGTCTGCCCCTAGTTTAATAACAGTAAAGTGCCTACATTGATAAGTAGTATTTTTGTTTTTCTTTTGCAGACCAGCTCGAGGGGGAAAAGGGTAAGTTGCTCTGACTTATGCAGTTGGGAAGGTGAAGGGTCAGATGTTATCCCATCTATATTGCCCCAAGCAACTGTCTGGGTCTTTGAAAACTCTGTGGAGTTAAATAATCTGTCACAATGACAAAGGGGAGGATAGTGAAAGGCTAGATCTTTCCTTTGCATGTGACACCTCCATTGGGACATCCAAGGGCCTCTCATTGTGTTCTTTCGTGATTTGGGGTGGGTGGTCTCTACCATCATACAGCAGAATGCAGAGCATCCTGGGATCATTGCAAAGCCCAAAAGTCTACTGGAAACCAGGCCTTATGTTGGGAGCTCTTGGGCTTTTCTGCCTGAAGACTGTCCTGGATTCCCTTGCCCTTGGCAGCAGGGTACTGTGGGTGCTGTCCCCCTCCATGCATGGGATCTCCAGGAGGAGCTGTTCACACTCTGACATGCAATCTCATTTGGAGGTCTGATTTCATAGAACTGTATGGTTGGAAGGGACTGCAGTGGTCATGTAGTTTGTCTCCTGCCAAGAGACAAGATTGAGTCTTGGCAGTGCTGTACCTCTCTCTGGACTCCCACAAAACCCCTTCAGTAAGAAAAGATTGAATTGGTTCTGGGCTGGAGGACAATTGAACAGTCTTAAATAGGACTAGGGAGGTCATACTAGCTCTGCATTTGGGGCACAGACTCCAATTCTGCTGTGCCCGATTGAAAATTTGAGTTGATAAATTGAAGATGGTTTAGAGAAAAACTATTTTGAACCTCCATTCAGTACTGACCTCCCTCATAGACTGTCCTTTGAACCACTGGTCACTTTTCTTGGCCTCATTTGAGTTGATCACCTTCCTTACATCAGTAACTGTCTCAGCAGTCTCTGAACTATAAACATTGATGATTGGGCCTCCTAGAATAGTGTTTCTCAAGGGCACTGTAGACCTATGGCAACACCCTAAGTTTTTCACTAAAGTTTTATCAGCATTTAATTTAATTTATTTGATATATCTTTGGGTCTTCCTCCTGAAGCTACAGTCTGGTAGAGTTGTTACGAACTCTGGGTTTGACCTCTAGGCTTGACTGTAGCTCTGACCAGTAAGCCTTACCACTCACACCCCAGTCTTTGCAGCTGGTAGCTTTCCTCAGGGATGCTTTGTTAGTAGACATTTATGGGGTTGCTATCTGGTCCTTAGTGTACACATTTACCTGGAACTCTGCAGCTGCAATGGCACCAAAGTGAGAGGTAAACTTCTAGAGTTTATCATGTAAGCCGTAATCCTTCCCCTGACCTGTTCATTCTCAGAGTCACCTGAGTGGTGGCCATATCTGTTACCACTTGGAAAGGCATGTTCCATTACCCACCAGAGGGGCAGACAGAATTGCTGGGCCCTTTTACAAGCTGTGGGGATAGCTCTGGGCCTGGGTCTGCCTCCCTCTTCACGCCGGTGGTGATTTAAAAGGCATGGAGCTCTGGCTGAGGCTGCTGCCACAGTAGCAATAGCATCACTGAAAAAAGGGCAATTGCCTTATTTGTCCCCCTCCCGATTGGTGGGCCTGTTGCCAGTTCTCAGTCCTCCCCTTGATCCAGATCATAAGCCATCATCCCCAGTGTGAAGGAACTGAGGTGTTTCAGACTGCATTACCATTATCTGTTCTTGGAAGGAGCCCTGAAGAAACACAGGACACATGTTCCAGCCTGACAGGTGTTGCTAAGTGAAAAATCTCCAATGCTGGGGAGCTGGGTTACACACATCAGAGTGACAAGAAATGACTGTATCCAAATGTCTAACAAATTACAGAATAAGGAACAGCATAGCTCTTCAATGATGCACGGTTCTGCCAACAATAGTAAACATATCTTTTTTGGTGCATTTTGTTTTTACAGAAGAACAGCAGAAAACGATACGTAAGTCAGTCATTTTCAGCTCAATAGACTCCCAGCACACCGGAGTCTTTTATAATGAAAAGAAGAAAGATTTATTGTTAAATCATCTCCCTTCTCCCCTGATACGCTCCTTACCTGGCAAAAGCATCTTTCTCCTGGCTTGACAATAGCATATATATGTGTTTTCTGGATCTCTGTTGTGCTGTTCATCGGTTCATAGAATAATAGAGCTGGAAGAGACCTCAGAAGGTCATCAAGTCCAGCCGCCTGTCCAAAGTAGGACCAATCTCAACTAAATCAACCCAGCCAGGGCTTTGTCAAGACAATACTTACAAACGTCTAGGGATGGAGACTCCACTACTTCCCTAGGTAACCCATTCCAGTGCTTCACCACCCTCCTAGTGAAGTAGTGTTTCCTAATATCCAACCTAGAACTCTCCCACTGTAACTAGAGACCATTGCTCCTAGTTCTGCCATCTGTCACGACTGTGAACAGACTTTCTCCATCCTCTTTATAACCTCCTTCAAAGGAGTTAAAGGCTGCTATCAAATCCCACCTCACTCTTCGCTTCTCCAGGCTAAACAAACCCAGATCCCTCAACCTCTCCTCATAGATCATATGCTCCAGCCCCTTAATCACTTTGTTCACCCTCCGTTGGACCCTCTCCAATGAGTCCACATTCTTCCTGTAGTTGGAAGCCCAGAACTGGACACAATACTTTTAATGCCAAATTGCCTCCTCCAGATTACGCTTGGCGAACTCACCCACCCGACGTAGCCTTTCCCTGAGCCTCAGGATATACTGTACTGTTCCTTGCACTCGGGTCTCCTGCGCCTCCCAAGCCTCTCTCACTATATCTAGGATCCCTCTGGGCTGCCTACCGTACAGGAGTTCGAACGGGGAGAACCCCGTGGAGGCTTGGGGCACTTCCCTTACTGCAAACAGAAGGGCCGGCAGGGCCCGGTCCCATTCTTTGGGCTCCTCTTCCACGAATTTCCGGAGCATCCCCTTGAGCGTCCGATTAAATCGCTCCACGAGCCCGTCGGTTTGTGGATGGTAGAACGATGTCCTCAAGGTTTTTACCCTCAGCAGGCGGCACAGTTCTTTCATAAGTGCCGAGGTGAAATTCGTCCCTTGGTCAGTGAGGATTTCTCCGGGTATGCCTACTCGTGAAAAGATTTTAATCAGTTCGTTCGCGAGCGTGGGGGCGGTGGCGTTCCGGAGTGGCACGGCCTCGGGGTATCGGGTCGCGTAGTCTACTACCACGAGGATATACTGGTACCGGTTCTTCGTTCGCTCCAATGGTCCCACCAGGTCCATAGCGATCCTCTGGAATGGGACATCTATTACCGGCATCGCCACTAGCGGGGCCTTGGCCACCCTTCCTGGTCCCATCTTCTGGCATTCCGGGCAAGATTCACAAAAGTCCCTAGCCGCCCGGTATATGCCAGGCCAGTAGAATCGCTGCAAGAGACGCTGCACTGTTTTCTCATACCCCAGGTGCCCGCCCCAGGGGTTACTGTGCGCCAGGTCCAACAGCCGCCTGTGGTGTAGCTTTGGTACGAGCAGCTGCATGACCACCTCCCCGTCCTCCCGTCCCTCAGTGATCCTATATAGTCGGTCGTCCTGGATCTCAAAGCGTGGGTAGGTCCTTTCTCCTTCCTGTGGTGTAGCTTTGGTACGACCAGCTGCGTGACCACCTCCCCGTCCTCCCGTCCCTCAGTGATCCTATATAGTCGGTCGTCCTGGATCTCAAAGCGTGGGTAGGTCCTTTCTCCTTCTACCCCTGTGGTCGCACTCCCCCACGCTTGCCGCAGGAGGGGGTCCTCCCTCTGTTCCCGGACGAAGTCAGGGGACCACTCCCCCTCTGGGCCAGTCGGGCCCTCCCCGGCCCTGGATCCCGTCCCCATCATTGGGGCGTCCGCGTCTTCTGTGGCCAAGGCGGCTTGGTACCCCT